AAGCACTTTGTTCCCCATTTCTATTCTTCGACAACGACACTCTAAACACGTATTATGCTTCGGTTCCAAATCAATATACTGCCCTTACTTACTCCAATTTTAAATCCATTTTGAAAGACTAAATTACTTATGTTTACTAAATTACTTTAGTTTACTCCCACTTAAATTACTATCCATAATATTAAGGAAATCCTTACTTTACAAAAATGTTAAAGCTAACCTTCCATGAAGTTGCTTCTTTTCTAATTAATCTCTGTAGTTTTGATTAGGTCCGGTAGTTTTCCTTCTTTCTGGAAAAAACTAAAAATCCCCCACTGTTGAAGGTTCGCAACCCTTCCTCGCCATCTTGTACTCACCTGATAGCTAATCTCTACACTGCCTCAAAAACTTTATAACACCTGGTGCATGCATGGATTAAACCTGAATTCATTAAAAACAAAGGTAATTATTAACGGCAGTGAACTGAACATATTACAATCTTTCTCGAATTTAATAATATTTTGAACCCCTCCACAAACTGGTTTTCGTTGTAGCCACAGTATTCGGATGGCTTCAGCAGCACTTATCGACGATATCGAACATAATATAAAAAATAATAAACTTACAATTTTTAGTTTGTTTAACTTTTCTAAAGTATCTGAGTCTATTCCGCATGATATACTATTAATATATTAATACTATAATATATTAATTAATATATTAATACTATAGTATTAATGGCCGCTTCCATTTCAAATCATACGGAGCTCCATGGGCACCCATGAGCAAACCACACCAAACTATTTTTTTGAGATTCTATGGTGAAAATAAAGCGACACGTATTTTTTTTTTGCCTTAGACGCATATTTGATTTAATATTGAATTTTGAAAATTCACTTCTAAAATTCAAAGTTAAAAAAAAATTTTGATAGTTGGATTTCAACTTTCTACTGCTCGGTCATTATTAGTCCAAATCGGATGAAACTTTTTTCATATTGCAGCAAAATTGAAGACCTTCAAATGTACGTGATCAAAAATGTGCATAAATGCATTTTTCAGAAGATTATGCACTTTTGGATAAAAATTGCATCCTGTAAAAATACCGATTTACCTCAAAAAGGCCATCTTTTTCTTGGCCCATTTTTTTTTTGTTGATTCGTTGTACCATCGTGTTCAAACGTATACCAGTCCGGTTTCCGGTTTTTGATTTTTTATGGAGAAAAAAAATAAAAAAAAAAATTTTTTCTTCCGTGTCGAAAATTTGAATAATCTACGTAAATGTATGTTACTTCTATAAAAAAAACTGTAAATCATTGAACGCTCATGTTTACAAACACTGCCGCATTCTTTGAGTACGCGAGTACTATCCACATACGTATATCTGGAATTTGACGACAGTAGAAGCTTGGCTTTCTTGTAGTTATCATGTCTACTCTCGAAAATTATTCTGCAAAGAGACTGAAATGCCCCGATTATTTTCAAGTTCACAAAAAGTGCGTGTATCAAAGTAGAACATTGAACTTTCAAGTTGTGGGTGATTACGCAGGATTTTTGCAAACAAAGTTTGCAGATGAAAGTATAACTGCTAACAGTAGTGTATGAAGTAATTGCTACAAGCGTATTTACAGAGCTCATAATGATAGTGTAGATCATAATGATACGGTTGAGATCCCCGATTCGGTGGAAGTGAATGTGATTAACGTTGGTGGTGATAGTGAGTTTGAACTGGATTTTTCTGTACATGTTGATGAATTCAATAATGCAGTTATTTCAAAATTGGAAAATCCAGTATCGCCTTTGCGAAAAAAAGGAAATCTTTCCCACATGAACATCGAAACACATGTTCTTAAAAAAAAAAGACAACTCGTGTCATCGTTTACTAAAGCTACGAGCCGGAAGTTAAGAAAAATATGTGATACACCACTTGAGGAAGAGCAAAGCTATTTGGGTCATATGTCCAAAGAATTAAAGGATAACGTAGCTAAAGCCTTTGATAGTTGTCGGAATATTTCAGACAAGATCAAGCTCTTGACCATTATAGCTCCTATATTATCTAAATGCCAAATCTTATCTTTGTTTCCATAAGTTACGGCTTACATGGTTGATAAAGCAAGAAAAATTTCTTCAAATGAAGGTAACTTTATTTTTAAAATATTCAAAATTAGATATATTTGAAAATAATCGGGGCATTTCAGTCTCGTTGCAGAATAATTTTCGAGAGTAGACATGATAACTACAAGAAAGCCAAGCTTCTACTGTCGTCAAATTCCAGATATGCGTATGTGGATAGTACTCGCGTACTCAAAGAATGCGGCAGTGTTTGTAAACATGAGCGTTCAATGATTTACAGTTTTTTTTTATAGAAGTAACATACATTTACGTAGATTATTCAAATTTTCGACATGGAAGAAAAAATTTTTTTTTTATTTTTTTTCTCCATAAAAAAGCAAAAACCGGAAACCGGACTGGTATACGCTTGAACACGATGGTACAACGAATCTACAAAAAAAAATGGGCCAAAAAAAAGATGGCCTTTTTGAGATAAATCGGTATTTTTACGGGATGCAATTTTTATGCAAAAGTGCATAATCTTCTGAAAAATGCATTTATGCACATTTTTGATCACGTACATTTGAAGGTCTTCAATTTTGCTACAATATGGAAAAAGTTTTATCCGATTTGGGCTAATAATGACCGAGCAGTAGAAAGTCGAAATCCAACTCTCAAAATTGTTTTTTAACTTTGAATTTTAGAAGTGAATTTTCAAAATTCAATATTATATCAAATATGCGTCTAAGGCAAAAAAAAAATACGTGTCGCTTTATTTTCATCATAGAATCTCAAAAAAATAGTTTGGTGTGGTTTGCTCATGGGTGCCCATGGAGCTCCGTATGATTTGAGATGGAATCGGCCTAATACTGAGCTTCTTGATATTACTTTACAAGCGTTTTTCTCTCACTTAGCGGATAGGGTGCAGGCAGTTATTGATGATGGTTTAATTTATTTATACAATATATTTATACAATTATATCTAAATTGTGCATACAATGATATCCATAATACTATTAGTAAAACTCGTCTCAAGTAAATTTGATTGCTCAACGGGCTTCTGAAAATGGATTAAACCTGAATTCATTAAAAACAAAGGTAATTATTATCGGCAGTGAACTGAACATAGCGAGAATTAATTTATCATATCTCCCTCGTATTATCTTAAATGAAACTAGTAATCCCTATTCCATAACAGTTGTTAATTACGGAATTACTATTTTTATTACTCTTGATAAGAAACATATGGAAAAGAACATCTTGAGCGTGTCTTCTATATAAACAAATGAAATAACTAGATAACAGATAACATAGTCAAACAGATGCTATCATTTACAGAAGCTTGGAAAGTTGTAGCTATATACACTGCCACGGTGCCTAAGAATCTAAGGTTACAAGAACGCAACAGAAGCAGCTAAATTTATCTAACATAGTGAGATAGAATAATAGTGAATACATATCATAGTCCATTTACGAGGGTCGTTTGAAAAGTCTGTGCAAAAATAAAAACTGCTTGATTTTTTTTAATAAATCTATTTTATTTTTCAACATAGTCTCCTTTTAGGCTTATACACTTCATCCAACGCTGCTCTAGTTTGTTAATCCCTTCCAAATAATAGGATTTGTCCAAGTCTGTAAAATAGACATTCGTTTCTGTGATCACCTCCTCGTTTAAATAAAATCTTTTCCCCGCCAGCCATTTTTTCATATTAGGGAACAAATAGTAGTCCGAAGGAGCCAAGTCTGGAGAATAGGGGAAATGTGAAATGAGTTGGAACCCTATCTCCATCAGTTTTGCGGACACAACTGCTGAGGCATGAGCTAGCGCATTCTCGTGGTGGAAGAGGACTTTTTTGTGGGCCAAACGTGGACGTTTCTCTAGCAACTCGATTTTCAAACGATCCAATAACGATGAATAATATTCGTCTGTAATGGTTTTACCCTTTTCCAGATAGTCGATGAAGATTATTCCTTGCGAATCCCAAAAGACAGTCGCCATAACCTTCCCGGCCGAAAGAATTGTATTCGCCTTTTTCGGAGCAGATTCCCCCTTGGTAACCCATTGTTTAGACTATTCTTTGGTCTCAGGAGTATAGTGATGTATCCATGTTTCACCTACAGTGATGAAACGACGCTTAAAGTATTGCGGATTTTGCTGGAACATCTGCAAGTCATTCTTGCAATACTTCACACGATCTCGTTTGTCGTCAATCGTGAGCAATCGCGGCACCGATCTAGCGGATAGCTTTTTCATGTCCAAATGTTGGTGCAAAATATTATGTACCCGTTCGCTCGAGATGCCTACAGTACTAGCAATCTTACTCACCTTCACTCTTCTGTCAGCCATCACCATATCATGGATTTTATCAATGATTTCTGAAGTGGTAACCTCAACAAGGCGTCCAGAACGTTCAGTGTCTTTTGTGCTCATATGGCCACTCCGAAAATTTTGAAACCTCTTATAAACCATTCTAATCGAAGGTGCACAACCATCATAATGTTTATCAAGCTTCTGTTTAATCTCCTGAGGCGTTTTGCCTTTGAAAAAGTAATGTTTAATCAATACACGAAATTCTTTTTCGTCCATTTTTTTTACAACCACTCGATTTCTTTGATTGAAACGAATGTAAAACGCAAAGTACTTGGCTGATCTGGCTGAAACTTGGTGTGTGCTCTTCCAAGATATGCCACTAACTGAAAATCACCTTGATACGCACTAGTAGCGTCATCTCTCTGACTTTGCACGGACTTTTCAAACGACCCTCGTATGAAACAAAAGATTTTCAATTGATAGACCAAGCTGGAAATTTAACTCACAGTGGTATTAGATCTGAGACTAGTTTTCAACAATCTCATTAATAATGCCAAGCTACAGAGAATAAATGATTTTAATGCTAAAATGCCTCAAAAATAAGCGCGTACGTGTCTAGTATGTATCTATATATATTTTTGTAAAAAAATTTCGTACGTACCCATTAGATGGTTTAATTGCATCATTCAAATTTAGTGTCGGAACATGCATCTTTCGAGCATAAGACTTATTCCAGTCAATAGGTAATATGTTGCCAAATGTGCCTGTTATTGTCCACCACATCCTAAAAATTATTAATACATAAATTAATCAACATATTTTACTAACACTCTTAACGCTGTCATATAAATTAAAAAAAAAACAATATCTTTCATATAATATATAAATATTATATATATATGAATATAATATGTATGAATATAATAAAAATATATGAATATAATATATTGTAAGAGGATATACCATTCGGGGCGCGAATGGGAATCTTACCCGTTAAAGAAAGGATGTTCCCAGAGTCGCGAGGCTAACCGCCGCCTCGATCAGCTCGTTCGAACAGCGTCGATCTTCAGACCTTCCGCCCTAGAGCCCGTGAAAACTCGCACGTGGAGAACACGTGCGGCATTTCCGGGGTGCCCAGTGATTCAAGGTCGGGCAGGTTCTGTCGTGGGCGTCAGGAGAGGAAAACCAGAGGGAATTCGGAAGAAGAACTCTCAGCCGGTTGTCGAGAGAATTGATATCTTTATTCACGTCTATCGCTTCAATCGTACAACAGTAATGTTGTGGCCGAGAGACTTTGTCGCGTGTCTCGCGCTCGCGATGAGAGAGAGAAAGAAAACGCACTATCTAACTACACTTTGCGGTCGCACGCAATTACATTCGAAATCAGGGACTTACGCTACGGGGACGAGTCACTGTTGATCAAGCAGCTCCGATGTCGTGCGCAGGTCGCGTTGGTCTCTGACCCTTCTTGGCGACAAACCTCTCGGTCGGGGTTTTCGCTGCCCGAGTCTGCAGTTGCCCGCGATCCTTGACTGTTGCCTCAGATCGCTCTGGGCAACTGATAATAATGGGCAGCGAACGACCTTTCTCCGAGTGGTGACTTCCTAGCGACTTCTGAGCTACTGGGTCTTCGTGTGCTACCGGCCTGGTTGCCCCTCGAATTTCTCTGACTCTATCCCTTGTCACTTACGTTCTTCTTATCCGCAGGTCCGGACTTGACTGACTTTCCCCCATTCCTCCTTCCGCCAAAGCGCGCGCGCCGGCCGGCGGCCTGATCGCTCTCTTCCCCCTTCCCATCATTCCTAATGTCCCGCGGTACGCGCGCCTGACTCGCGCTGGTCGGTGCCCTAATCCCTCTTCTCTCTCTCGCTTCTTCGCTCGTTCGTCTCGCGGGCGCTTCTCCTCCTCGGGTTTGTTTCTGCGGACCGGCTTTTACGCAGCTCCACGCGATAGGGGCGCTTAGGTTACACCTTTAACGAGTCACACTCGTTACAATATATGAATATAATAACAATTTATTAGTTGCGACTACGGCATCGAGCAGTAAAGACCCGCCGCTACCACGCTAAACAGACAGTATACAGGGTTTCCTATTTTAAAGGAACCACCCCGAAATTTTCTACGGTTGGCGTTCTACAAAAAAATTGTTCAGACAAAAGTTGTTTGGGAATGAGGGACACCTTTTCCAGAAATCAGATTTGATCTTGAGATATATTTTCAAGGTCATTTGAAGGTCAAAGTCATTTTTTGAATAGGAACCTATAATTTTGATCCCGGATTCGGAAAGAGCGAGAAATTCTACGTTCAGATAAGTTATTATATGTGGGGTGCGGTTAACGCCCCATCCCGCGTAAGGTCATGTAGGAGTCAAATTTATTACTTTCTTGATCTATGCACAGGAATGATCGGGCAAGGGTAACATTAATTTTAATAACCCAAAAACTCAAATAACCCAATAAACCAACCCCAATAACCCCAATCACTAAATATCCAAGTTCGTGGTCGACGTCTCTCTCTTCCTTCAATGATTCGGATTTTCACGTGGGTCGGTTGCCGAAGCCTCCCAGAGTAATTTTGAAGGTCAAGGCCGATATCGTGCTGCAGCAAGATATTACCGTCCAGTTATTGGGTTGGCGGGGGAAGATATTACCACCAAGTTCAAATGACCTTGAAAATAAATCTCAAGGTCAAATCCGATTTCTGGGAAAGGTGACCCTCATTGTCCCAAAAGACTTGTCTGAACAATTTTTTTGTAGAACGCCAACCGTAAAAAATTTCGGGGTGGTTTGTTTAAAATGAGAAACCCTGTATATGTCATCCCAGTGTAAAAGTGGGTGCAGTAGTATGCATAGTTTGAGGTCATTTTTACCATATGAATGAAATACTGGCTAAATATAACACAGGCAGCCCAGTCCAATTGCTAAATAGCACTTTTATAATATACCAACATCATCCAGACATTGCATTGACCTTAAACTTACAATATGGTAAACTCAATGAAGAGGCAAAAAAGTTCATCACTCAGCTAAAAGTTATACAGTGCCGGTCAGCCACTTTTACCCCCCCGCGGGCAAAATCAGTCTAACTTCAAAGTTTTATATCTCTGGTAGAAATTAACGTACAGAGACGCGCGTGGGTGCGTTTGAAAGGTCTTTCGGAGAGCTTTCAAATGATATGACTCACGGTTGCCATTGATTGTTTTTTTAAATTTTGCAACAATTATGCAAAATTGAAAATTCTGAAATTTTTTTATTATTTTTGACAATTAGCCAATTTTGGAAAAAAAATCGTACGAAAATTTGAAGTACACCATTTTTTAGCTATTACCAAGCCCTATCTGAATCACTCATCAAAAATTTATTTTCGTCAAATATGACGCGCGCACGGACATTTTTTCCTGGAAGTGACAGTTTTTTTCAACATTTTTTATCTCCGTCAAATTGTAACAATCGAAAAAAATTTATAGGAGAAAAAATGTTTGTTTTTTCACGTAGAATACTGCAATAATTTTTTTTTCGGTTTTTCGAAAATTTTTTTTTTTCGGTTTAAATTATTTTTCAAGGTCGAAAAAAAAAAGATTTTTTTTTGATGTAATTTACGATACTTGTTATGTAGTATTATTGAATGGGTGGAAAAAAATATGATTTTGTGGTTTCTCATCTTTTTAGCGTACCGACTGTGAGAAAAAAAAATTGAAAAAAACCGAAAAAAAAAATTTTTCGAAAAACCGACATCATTGAAAAATGTTCTTCTGTGTTAAAAAAACATGATATTACTCCATATCGTTATTACAAAAACCATTACAAGAGTTTATACGTTTAGGAAAAGACAAATCTGATTTATTAGACAATACTGGTATTAAATCTGCTTACGAACTTAAAATCTGCTGACGAAACGTTGCTGAATATAATTAAAATTAAGTGAATTTTCCATCTCTCACTATTTCCCTTTTTTCCATTATTACAAAATTTATTATTGAAGAAGACTATAAAGGAATCAAGACAGTATATTACGTATTACAACCTACGAGGATTATGATGAGTTACAAGCTCTACAAACTGAAAATAGATTATTGAAAGAACTTTACAAAGAAACAAAAGAAAAAAACATTTTATTGAATGAATTATTAATCAATAAAAAGCAAAGAAAACCAAAAAATATCTTCATAAGCACATACGCAGAAATTGCTAACATGACTAAGCCTAAGCCAAAAAGAGTACCAAGATTAATATCTAAGAAATCAAACAAAAATGACAACATGAACCTGTGGCTCACTATTTAATCAAAGATAAAAAAATACAAACAAATAAAGTACAAACAGTAAATAATGACACAGTCATTATAAATTGTAAGAACGAGGAAAGTATAAGTGCTATCGAAAAAACTTTAACAAAAAAGCGGCATACAAGTGTCAAATTGAAAAGAAAACAAATTAAAAAATCAATATTAACAATTACTGGAATCAGTAATACTTTTACATTAAATGAAAAACATATAGAATCAGATATAGATCAAAGAAATTTTAGCAGTTATAACGAGAAATCCAAAATATTGCAATCCTATTCAACCGCACGCGTGCCGGCTCGAGCAACGCCGGCGGCTTTGCTCACTCGAGCAGATATCCGCGACTCACTCGCGCTCGTTTATTCGTCTTACGCGACGTATCTACGCTTCTCTCTTCTCTCACCGCTGCCGCTCTCGCTCTCAGTTGGCCCCCACTAACGATGCCCGGCCCAGGTATTGGTCTTGAAATAAAGCGTTGCGAGTATCAGTAATGGTTTTCGATTTCCATCACGCTCGCCATGGCCACAGCGAAGGAGCGAGTCGCGGGAGAGAGAGCGAGCAAGACAGGACCGGCCATCCCAGCCAGGACCCCGTCACAAAATTTATTGATCTAGTCACCAAAGCTCTCTGCACTAGCACATCTAGAAAAAAACATACCAAAAAACGTAAGAAAATATTTAGAAATCTAGTTGTCTTGTGGCATGATGAGTGCGCGCGATTAAAAACATTAAAACTTAGCGGACTTAATATATTACAAGAAGCACGCGGTGCTCTATCGCAAAATGATTAAATTAAAAAAAAGACTGTTTCAAAGAATTCACGTCTAGCTTAAACGTGGGTATCAATCCCAGCTATGTCTGGAATAATAACAAAATATTTAAAATTTGTTAGACTAAAACTTTTCCTCAAGATTCTAGTAAAAATCTTCAAAACAACAAAAAAGCTGACAGAGCCTTAAATAAACTAAGCCCCTCAGGGCTCAAACGAATCCTTCTTGGCTTCCGCAAAGCAACTCGAATAAATTCTTTGATGCGCCTAACAGTTTTCAAGAATTCAATAATTGCACTTCAACCGAAAAAACAAGATTATAGCCTGGCATGGTGGGTATCAACTTTCTAGTTATACAAAGTTTACTGATCAGACTAAAATTAATACTAACTGATATTTACGACAAAATGTTCCAAAAAAATGATTATCCTTTTTCTTGGAAAGTTTTTTATACATTTCATTAAAAAATCGGACGGTGATAGCGTGCGTCCCATAGAACCTGTCTTTGGAAGTTATTTGAAACAATGATTAAACATCGATTGGTATGGTAGAGAGATTATTATAACCTTAATCCACAAGACCAAAGTGGATTTCGAAAGAATAAATCATGCAGACACAATCTCGCAAGCCTCAGTTTCTAAGTTCAAAACGTCTTGATTGAAAAAATGGACATTTTAGCCCCGTTCCTAGACGTACATTGGAGCTTTCGACAATACCAGGGTCGTTTGAAAA